ACAAAACCACTGGCATATATGCAGGAGCTTAGTCATACAAAACCACTGGCATTTTTGGGTCAGGAACTGACCAGCTTGGGAGAACGAACCTGGGTCAAACTGGACGTCCGGACGGAGGAAGATCGGCTTTCCGCTGTCCGACCTGGAGCTTTGTTCCACCTCCACCTCCAAGCCGCTACTCGTGGAGGGCATCCTCGTGGTTGAAGGGCCGTTGGCATCGCCGAGCTCTTCCTCGGGGCAACCCACCTTCTTCTCTAAGCAACACCGGAGCCGCTTGTTCAAAGACCAGAGGTCGATGTTTCCACTGCACGTTCCCACGGACGGATCCTGGGGCCAAGCCGCAAGTGGCGCAACGAACAGAAGAATGGATGCCATTGAGACATTACATTGCCATATTCGACCAGAGGAGATCTGGAGCAGCTCAACTACCAACCTTACGTATGCACCTTACTCGAAATGACATAGCTAGACCCTACCGGTTGGTAACTTGGAACATGGGACATGACCCGAAGCAAAAACAGGTACCACTCGGTACGACTGTACATTCCTGTGCCCATGTTTTTTGAAGTACTTCTGGTAGGATCTTCACTCAAATCGATCCGTCTAGCCTTGGAAAGCGATGCGTCTGCGTGACTCGACTCGCGACTCGACGAAATGTACGAAAGAACATGGAAGACCCCCGATGTCAAGACTTTCTGATGTGCATGTGGACCCCCAAGTAGATAGATATCAACGTAGATCTTAGATCCAAATGTAACTGCAACCGTGCCACTATATCTATTGGGGGATCACTCTAGGTAGAGGATGTCGTTCTACTCACCGCTAACGCACAAACCCAGACCGAATGTCCACCTACAGACTTTAAGTTGACTTCGCATCCATCCCAAACCAAAACGTATAGACACCTCAAATGACATTCAAATATAGCTCATTATTTATATAGTAGAGGGAAAAACACACCCACACCCACACACAAAAAAGATCGGCTCAACCTGCGCCCAAGGATCCAAGCCCCCCTTGACTTCTTTGCATCCCACATTCTTCTGCTGACAGCACCAGGTCCTGAAACACACGTGGCCCTTCTGGAGAAGAGCCAAGGGACTTCAAGGGAGCCACCGATCTAAACCGGCTTTCATGACACATGTGAGTCCTCTCTTTCGATCTTCAGACCTACAAGCCCCCTGGGTCTGAAGTGAACGTAGAAGAGGATCCGGGGAGCCACGCCCAAAGGGAACGGAATCACCATGATGTCGACGGTTGCATGATGTCTTTGTGTCATACTTCGAAAGGATCAGTCAATAGACATGCTTATACTGGTATTCGATCCTGTCGGGTTTGTCATCCATGTATCAGGTTCTCATGCCCCAAGTGCGGATGTTCATCGCCTACGTGGTCAACTCCAAATCTGGGGTCAAACACGTTAACACTATAGTGGCGTTGTACCACCCCAAAAGCCACGAAATGACAGTAGATCCTGGAGCAAAGCAGGTGAGAGCATGATAGAAGATCGGAAGGACCCATTGGTTTCCATGCTTCCATCACCCATCTGATTCGATAGAACAGGGTTGCCCATGTTCCCACGCAACGAAACTAACAGCCCTCATAGTGGTACAAGTCGCAGCCAAGGATAGCCACTGCCACCGTAAAACTGTTTGACACCACACAGCCAAAACACCATCACCAGAACCATCCAGTTCGGGTTCTTCATGGTTCTTCCATACTTTTTGTCGGACCCCCTTGACTACCAACAAAGGTTAAGTGACCGTAGATAGGACCCTACTGGGGTACCTATGGGATAGAGTCTATAGGGTTCTTCAACCTCTGTTGGTATGTAACTGGGTGATGCTGGGTGGAAATAGCACCAAAGCAACTCGACACCAGGCAAACGACCGGAGTCAAACGACCGGAGGCCAATGACCGGGCACGCAGCGTGCGAATCCCCTGGGATCTAATGAGTCGGTACCTCTTTGGAGTGCCATCCAGTGACCTTTTACAGGCCCAAGCTCGTGACCGTCTTCACTGGGATATCAAGTACGGTCACTTTGAAGAACCAGGAGGAAAACAAATACAACAACACGGGTTCTGAGTTCTGCCTTCTTCTGCTTGGTGTAGGAGTAGGAGTAGAAGTAGCAGTAAAAAGATGTTGTCATCTTGTTGTTGCTAGTTCAATTGGTATTGCTCAGTTTGTTAAATCACGTTATACTAAGAAAACGACACACATACACATTGAGGGTTGTGATTTTTGTACGTTCTCCAAGATATGACATCTGTTATCAAAAAACACTGAAAAATCTGGCATAAACCATAGTAGAGCCTTCTTTAAGTGGAAAGCAGCATATATGAAGTCTGAAGGTTTTTCTAGGGTCTTTACCAATCAAAAGTCTACATGAAAGTGGGGGAAGTAGTTACATCCCACAACACAGGTCAGCGATACGTCCTACAAGTCCATTCGTGCAGGTCAGCATGCTGGGCCAAATCCCCAAAAACCACCATCCCATCCTGCAAAAAAATATCAACCTATTCATATGAAGCATTATGAAGAGCCCTAGGTTATACTTGGTATACATGGTTCTATTCTCCATGCATTATACTGCTTCCAAGTTATTCGGTGCATCCAGCGTCTCCCACCGTCTCTGTTCCTCTTCTGTTCCAATTCTCACCAAGCAGCTGCCTCTGCTGAGTCCATCCCTCCATCTCACCGTCACACTGGAAGGGCGCCTCCGTCGGCGCTTCCACGTCACAGCCGCGCTGCCTCAGTGCGACTCGTGGCACGAAAGGGCGACCGGGCCGTCTCCCTCGAGTGAAGGTCGGAAGCAGAAGGGTGGTGTTGCGCTCGATCGGGAGTCGAACTATATCCCCGTTTTGCAGGCTACACCAAGTACCGTACGTGAGGATTGGTGGCACATGGGGTTGGTTTAGAGGGTCCAGTCATCCCGAACCTGAGGAGGTACGACTGGAGGTGTAGGGTATGTCATCATGTTTACATATATAGGAATCGTAGGAATGCATATAGCAGTCCCTGGTGAGGATATTGGCTGAGGTTTCGTCCTCGACGTCCTGTAGCTTTGATCAGTTTTGGATAGTGGTCTTTTTCACCATCCTGGACCTTGGGTGGTGGACTGTGACATGTGGCGCCTCGGAGTTCCGGAGGTGCAACTCATAGGGTGCTGCTCATGAAGGTGCTGCTCATGGTCCCCGGTGCCCAATTCTGACAGCAAGCGTCCTGTCTGTGTTGGGGGGGGGGGAATCCATGTGTGAAGCAAACGAGGAACACTTCGGACACTTCGCCATTCCAAAAGCCCTCCCCAAGCAGCAGCATCCCCAGGTCCGATGCGTCGGAGCGGCCGTTTTAGCAGGAGGAATAGCTGATTCATGCAGTATAAAGCAGTATAAAGCAGTACTCATATGTGATTAGACTCTTGACTATTAATAACACCCCTATAACATTTAGATTGAACAATGCAACACCTCTTCAATATTGGGGTTTGGTTGACGTATCAAAAGTCGGTCATGAAGTCCTTCAAAACCCAACATAAACAACACCCAAACTCCCGTCCAGACTCCAAAAAGCCTTGAAGAGCCACGACCTCTATGACCGATCTTTTCTGCAAGAACTACAAGCGCCCTACCAAACGCACCCAAGAAACTCGTGCTGGCAGCACCAGGCTCTCTTCTCCGCGGCCCAGGAGTTCGGACTTGTTTGACAGTCGGTTCCTAAAAAAGGTCTCCGTGGGGCCGACCGTTTCAACGATGACAAGACCCGAGCCGTTGGCGCTCCAGTTCATCACTTGTCCCACCCGGCTGTCCCACATCCTCAGAAGGTAGTTCTACCCCAAGCACCTTCTCAGGGCCCTAGGGCCCTAGGGTCAGATCCGTGAAGGTAGTTACTTGGACCCTTCAAACCCAGCCCAGTCCCACCTCAGCCGAGGAATTTGGCTACAGGAACCCGTTCTGAGGGAGAGATCCGACCAAATGCTTGACCACTCCCCCTTGGTTCACTCGCAAGGTCATGCCGACCTCTCGTTCGATCGATCGCAGCGAACTGTTTGACCTGCGTGACCTGGTCTTGCCCAGCCCGTTAGGGCCCGTGACGGCTCCTGTCCCACATCCTCAGGTTCGGTAGGGACCAAAAGGCACGCCCCTGGCACACCCAACAACATTCCAGTCGCACCGAAACAAAACCAACTTGGGCCAGGAGCGCTGGGGTTGGTTCGTGGGGCGTCCCCAAAACTCTAATGTTTCTTCTCCATTGCCCTGACCATCCATGTATCCCAAACACTCCATGGGACTGGCATATATATATATAATATATATATGCCTATACATTGACCCCAGGTCAACCACCCCGATCGGCCGTGCCATGAAGGCAGTCCCTCATGGCAGTCCCAGACAGGTCGTGTCTGGGGACTGGATCAGCCAGACCTACGGTCTTTTTCTATAAACCCTAGGGATCCAGTCGTACGTCCTCAGAAGGTACTTGGACCCTCCAAATCTACATAAGGGTCAACGGTCTCGTCTGCTCGGTCGATGGGTGTCTCCAACTGCAACCGGCCGTGAGCCGAGCGTGCAAGCACACGGTGGAAACCGGTGGACACCTCAGTAATGAAGAGAGGTCAAGTGACCATAAATAGGACCCGTAACCTGGGGTACCGGTTCCTGGGATAGCCGAACTAGCTCTGACCCACCTCTGTTGGACAGCCAAGAGTCGTATCGGATCCACTATCATCGGCTGACATGCGACTCCCCTCGTCTCGCAACACCAATCCCTTTGCGCGCGAGTCAGCGTCGCCGCTCGCCCGCAGTCGCCATCCGCGACGCCATCCGCCACGACAGATGTGGACGTCGGCGCGGCGGTGGACGTGTCCTGCGTGCGGCGGTTTGCGCGGGAAAAAGAGTCAGCAAAGTAACCTTAATAAGACCCTACGGGGGTACCTATGTATGGGAAAGTCTCAGCATCACCCAAAGGGTGGTCTATAGACCACCCTGACTATCTATTTTCCATCTAATAACCACTCGAATTGGGTGGTGCTGGTCTTTTTGGGGTTAGTTAGTGGACTTGGGGACTTGGGCACCTTGGGGACTTGGGCCGCCCAAGGGCGGCATGAAGTCCAGCAAGCGGCCCTGTGCATCGGTGGTGGCCGCCCTGTATGCGTCTTCGACTTCGAAGATTGTGACAGTCAATCTACCCAAACGCTCCATGGGACTGGCATATATGCCGCCCCATTGACCTCCCTGGCACCACCCCAATTGATCGGCATATATGTCATACATGGAGTGTCTGGGCTATGTCAATGAAAATGGATAGATGCGCAGAATCGATCCGTAGCTTTCGGGGTTATTTCGGAGGTACGCATGAGTACGCATGTACTGACAGATCTATGAGAGTTAGCCCTATATATAGCTTTATGTGGCCTGGCTTGTTGCCAACAAAACATAACAAAACCACTGTGATTTATCCAAAGACTCTGCAGGCGATCCAACGCCTGCTCAAGAAGTACTCCAGTGTGTATAATATAGAGTAGAGTCTATATATATATATATTATGGAAACTGGGCGCAGTCGGTACCTGTTGTTGATTTCGGGTCATGGACACCTTCTTCGATCTTCGGAGGGTTCAGGACAGGGCCAGGTGTTCGGGAATCTCTGCCTCTGAGCTCTGAAGGTTCCCCCACGGGTTGGGTTCCGGCCGCGGCCGCTGAAACCAATCCACCAAACGAGCCACCAACAGCAAAGACAGCAACCAAACCAAGGCAACCAAAGCCTACCGAACATGCTAGAGTTAGAGGGCACCCCGTTATCAATGATTTTGATGGTTTCGGATGCTTCTGGAGAGGCTCCCTCAACGATAGGAACACGCTTGAATTGGTTCACGTGTCTACTTGGAAATTTATTTATAGCTTGCAGGGCCCTCTAGGAAACATGGCTGGGGTATAGCACTTCTGATGGCAGGGCCAAACCATCAGGCCCCATGGAAGCCCTAAGAGATTTGTAATAATGTTCATGAGTCATATGCCCTAGGGTTGTGTCGGGCACGCCAGCCATAGATACAAGGAGCCAAAACAACATAAAGCAAAAACATGCAACAAAAAAGCAAAAGGCAAAGCAAACAAAAACGCACAAACATGTAGCTGTGCGTATTTGTCGCTTTTTGTTTTCACTTTTGTTCGCTTTATCTTCGCATTTTTGTTCGGTTTTTTTCCTCGCTTTTTTCCTAGGAGGGTACAGCAAATATTGCTGACGGGTAAAAGTTCTCATAAGTGCAGAAGTGGTACCAGGAAAAATAAAAAAAGCACAACAAATGCAAAAACAACGCAAATTGCGCTGCTTTTGCATTTTCATTTGCTTTTGTTTCGCTTTTTTTCACAAAGAAATTATTTGATGGTTGGTCATGTATGGCTGCCACTGCCCAACATAACCCCTAGGGCTCCAGTCGTACCTCCTCAGGTTCAGTATGACTGGACCCTCCCGGCACCCACCCCAGTCCCACCTTCGAAACGAAGGTGCGACTGGAGCCCAAACAGGATACATTCTGCTCACAAGACTCAACGTTTATTCGCTCAATTTGCTCAAAGTGAGGCACACCTTTGTAGTGTGTCATGGACGGTGGATGAGGATGTGGAACTCAGTCTTATTTAGCTATGGGACAATGAGGTTATACGTTTGTTGGGGTGTGTGACCTACCCAAACAACCTGTTTTGTTTGGGACTTGCATTCTTGCCGATCTGGCATATTATTCCATGCATGGAGCGTTTGGGATAAGACGGAACATGCCAGGACCCCCCCTGCTTGTAACATATATTAATAGCCCTTGGAGGTTAAGGGACGTCCAAGAACCGACCCTTTTGGGTCCTGGATGGTCCTGGTATGTAGCAGACATGTCATGAGTTATGAACATATTCTGTCGTCAAAGCACACTGGGAGAGTCCTTGACTGTGCGCCTGTGTGCTTACGGTCGGCCCTTTCAAAGCCTCGGCCTTAAGATCGTATGAGATGTATGAGTCGATCTTCGGATTGTTTCAGCAACATCGGCCGTTCCTGCTCCGATCGACTGACCACCAACGTATCTTGCTCAGTATCGAAAAGAATGGGTTGATGCGTTCCCATCTTGTTCATACGATTTTACACTGGATTGAAACCAACCCACCAAAGACATCCAAACCAAAAACTTGGAGAACTTTGGACCCCCAACCAGTTCGCTGCCCAAGCTCCGCTCAGCATGCCGCTCCTGGTGGCTTTCACTCGTGCTGCTCGTGCTCGGACAGCGTCCGGACGCACAGCACCACTGCCGTTGCCGCTCCGACCACGTGGCCGCTGCCTCGGCAGTACCTGGGCGGAGGCAGCGTCTCCCAGGAATGGGGAAACAATAGAAAACGGTTCCCCCCAGGAAGGGGATGTACACCCCCGAAATTAACATGGAACCTGGGAATGGACCTTTTGGAAGACTACTTTCCTTTAACACCGAGTGTTTTTGAGGTTCCATGTTAATCTTCCAGGGTGTACATGGATCGACCCATAAAACGAAAGTAAACATTACCCTAAGCAAGCGCAACGGCCAAGCATTCTCCGAAGGCTTTGGAGGAGAATGAGACGTCATGACATGTCAAACAACGATGTCTGCTGGGCGTCCTCGGCACCCCCCGGTCGAGGACAAAATGGAACGATGTAAACCGTGTAGCGGTGTAGCGTATGTCGTGCTAGTGTTGGAGCCATGGGTCGGCATGTTGTTAGCATTGAGCATCATTGAGCTGTTGCTGGTGTTGGCTGATTCCAAGATCCCTACCCCTGGTGAGGGCGGAACATTTTCCAAGGACACCCCCTTTTTTTGTAGAGATAGGGGGGGTGAAGTTCTAACACTCACCACATGTTGTCCATTCTTGGCCCACCATGTCACCCGAATTTCACGACCCATCGAGTGCGGCAGTTGAAGCAAAAGCCACTAGTTTGCCAACACGTTCTTCTACAAACACACCGGCAGAACATCTTCCAAGACGCAGTCTTGGTGAACATGGATATCCAATCCGATCAGCCCAATAACCAGCAAAAAACCTCCAGACTTCCCGTTGTACCAACGGACTTCTCGATGCCCAACGTGAAGGTTTCTGATTCAGTGAAGGACCGACAACCGAAAGCGCATGGTTACATGGTTCGACCGAGAGCGGGAAAACCATAATAGCGAAAGTCCTCTGGAATCATCTGCAGCCCCAATCAGGATCACTCACGGGAAAATCCATGTATTCCAAACCGAACCCTCACCATCCCTCACCCCCCACCCCAAAAAGTAAAAACTTCCCGGCAAGACGGGGTGCGATCTATGGAGGTTGGGGGTGCCCCTGTCACATCCACTCACGTAAGGGGACTAAACACCACCCCGTCTTGTGACTCCTGGTCTAGGATGGTCTAGGCCAGCCGTGGGGAAGGTGGCACCCGTCGGTCCCGCGAACGCTGAACACCGAGCAGGATGCAGTCGAAGGCTTGAGTGTCAGAGACATTACCTAAGGCAGCAGCCGGAATCAGAATTCCTTGAATACGACGTATTTCTTGGATCACCTGCATGCATTTTCCATGTCTTTTAATAGATCTGAACCCTGTCACTTGTGGATGTAGATGGATGCAGCAAGCACTGGATGAGATCTTTCAAGTGGCCAACATCCGTGTCGGACTTTCTCTCAATACGCTGTAGGTCACCTTCGGCCCCACCCAGGTGGGACCGTAAGAGCATGAAATCCTCCAACGTCGCAAAGGGTTGGTCAACGTCGCATGTTGCACTCCCGAAAACGAACATGGTTACGTGGAGTTCACCACCTGTTTGTAGTGGAGTTCATGGTCTTCCTTCTGGGGCCAGGCCATTCTCCACTTCCATGGGGCCGTTCCAGGGGTATTCCAGGGAGACTTGGGGTCCACTGCGCCGATGCCCGGGAACTCTCGGAACGACCGATCGACCGCGACGTTTTGGAACTCCCGGATCGACCGGATCGACAGGTGTTCCCCCCGTCGACGGACGACGTTGAAGCCATCAGAAGCCAACATAAACCAACTGGACAGTCGCCTGGACCCTCAATGAGCCTGTGACCATGGAGATCATTGGAGATCAGTGGATAGGGAAGTGGAATCTTCCCAGACCCCTTAGGCGGAAGTGGCTAGCATATACATTGTACGTGTGTTACTTCTGGACCGCGCGTCGTCGCTGTGACATTCTCAAGGAGTTGGGGATGCCAAGCTGTGAGTCATGAGATGGAAGTTGTGAACCAGTCAACCTTTACTACTGACTCTCAGTTTGCCAGTGAACAAACACATGCTTATATATAAGTTATATATCATATTATGTCCATGTCCATCTGATTCCATCTGATTCCATATGCAGTCGGGAAACCAATCCCCCCGACATCAAGGTTAAAGGCTAATCCACACACTTCCTGGGTAGGCCTAGATGACCCATCGTCACCTTTGGGGGGGAAGTACCTCATGTTATGGAGTACCGTGCGGCGGCGTAGACACCCAGAACCCCCAAAGACCCATCAAAAATCACCAAATCTTCGGGCGTCTGATGTTTCCCCTCCAGGCCGCTGTTGTTGCAAGCAAGGCCTTTCTGCTCGCAACACCAGCTCCATTGCATGCTCGTCCACTGCGAGCGATTGCCATCGCAGGCGTAGCTCGGGGAAACGGACACATTCTGCTCCGTCAGGCTGGTTCCTGGAGAACATGGCAGAGGTACACTCAGCCGCGGAAGTCCCGGCGTAGGAACAAACTTGAGTTCCCCAATGGAAACGCGACGCCAGGAGGGGGGGTCCCATGGCAGAGGTCTGGGTCCCATGGCTGTCGAAATCTGTCGATCTCCAGTGGTACCGAACCTCAGAAGAAGAGATCTATGAAGAAAAGAACATGATAATAGAATTCCCTGGATCCGGTATTGTACATGTCTCAGTGTCGAACACATTACCATGCCTGAGAAGGTGCGACTGGATCTGACTGGGCTAGATGGCCGCCGGAGTCGGTCCGACCATTCGCAACCAGGGGGGTGGGGGCAAGGCCTGGTTGCATGGATGTTGTCCAATCCTCACATCAAAAACCCATGCACAACCCCATCCTAAGATGCGTTGCGTGGATGACATGGCCCCCGAGTTCGGGTCTGAAACGCATTTCTGAACACCCCACATGCAGGTGGTGGCACACCCAATAGGTGGTGAACACGCTAGGGAGCGCGACCTGAAATGAACTGGGTGTCAGAATGGCAAGGTACCACAAAGAGACCAAGACCATCAACTACTGCTGATTCTAGCAATGCTGATTCTCTGATTGTAGCCATGCGCAATGGTTTGCAACAGGCTTTGGATGGTCTTTATGTTGTCTCGTTTGGACTGCGCTTTTTGGTGCCAAAAAGAATCGGCCGTGAACTCACTCGAGCCCTCTTCGTTGGACCGTCATACTGGTGGCACTGGCTGTGCATCCGCACCCCCAAAGCATGCGCAGCGTGCTGTCCAAGAAACGGTTGGGCTCGCATCCCAGCTGTTCATGGGTGCAGCACCACTGCTGCTTGGCCTCTGAGAAGGTCTCATCTGTACAATTGAAGCTCCCATTCTTCGAATTCGCGTTACTACTCGCAACGCTGCTTGCATTGCTCGCATTGGCGCCACACGCAATGCCATGATGGATGCAACACCACCTTATGCTGCACGCAGAAGGGACCTCAATCATTCCTGGTTCTTGTCATCCAAAAGCCAGTTTCTGAAGTATCCTATTGTCTGCTTCGGCCATCAAATCCTGAAAACCACCTGGAGACACCCTAAACATTCCACGGAGACCGTTCTTTCATGATCTTTCCACTGAAGCTTCCCCATCCAGATCTTCCAGATCATCGGATCTACACAGCTGGTCAGTCACATCGTCATGGAACAACCAATCCATTGGTCCAATCCTTTCCTCTCACCCGGCGGCACTCCACATATGGAAGACACGCGTATACATACTTCCAGGATCACCTTGACCACGAAAACCCACCCGAAGGCCCGAAGGTAGTCCTTCAGATCAAGGCATCCATCGGGCCCCACGTCGGATACACGTAAGAGGGGTGGATGTTGAACAAACACCTGCAAACACATGCACAAAAACATCGATGTTGATTCTCTCCAGCCATGTTGAACACTCACACACACCATCCCTTTGTTCGCGCCCCAGTGCTGAATTGCATCCGGCTATACCTTGACCCAAATCACCCAAGGTTCGCATGGCGTGGCTCTGACCCAGGCTCTGAGTCATTCCAAGCGGCGACGCGAGGGTCTCGTTGGAGTCCACTCCTTGACACGGCGCCTGCGCCTGCGAACCATTGGCCTCCACCTCTGCCACCTGCGCCTGCGACGTACAACGGACGAGCCGGCCACGAGTTAACTCACGTCGGGAAGGGAACTTGAGGCCGTGTGGTTCCAAGGGGAGATTTGAAAGAAACAACAAGGATCCAAAGAAAGGCTTGGTGGATGAACGCTCCTTACCAGGGGAGCCGGTAGCATGCCAAGTCGTGGGTGTTCAACAGCACGCTAGCCCGGCCGCCCTGTTCCCGGACGGGGCGCGGAGCTGCGTGCAGGCTGTGTGCTGTGGTCTTAAAGCACCCTCCAACTCACGAGTTCCTGAAAAAAAGATCCCTCATCAGTCCAGCCGTCCAGCCTATGCCATTCTGCAGTCACCTTCCCTGGTTCAAAGGAACCTCTGACATACTCTGACTCCCAAGGCATTATTCTTCGTCAACCTTTCTCCATCTGTTTCTGCTTAGTGGGAGATCAACTCCTGTAGGGGTCAAAGGCTACCCACTGACTGGGCAATGGTTTTCAGGTGTCTCCCATGTTTCTTCGAATGTGAGTCTGCAACCCTATCGAAGAACCAAAGGAGAGAAAAAACACTGTAGAATGACCGTCTTGCTAGGCTTGCTCCCAACAGGCCGTTCAACGTTCTTTGGCTCAGGCGATCTCCATCTCAGCACTGCTGAAGAACTGAAGAACGGCCCTCGCAAGGCACGTCTCTGGCCGATGTTTAACGTATATAAATGCATCCCCCAACACAGCGCCGCGCGTACCTCGCCCAGTCTGGCCAGCGCTAGGATCAGGAGGACTCGCCGAGCCATCCGGGCGCGCGGCACACGCACAGCGCACGCAACGCGCTGAAGCCCGCGAAGATGTTCCAAGTGTTCCTCCGTCCCACTGTCCCCTGACCCAATGCATGAGGTCTTTGGTGAAGAATTACAGTCAAATTCGACCCTCTCGTGTCACCTGCCACTGGGCCCAGCAAAGGACGTCTTGGCCCCACTTTGTTAGCTAGAGGAATCAAAACGGTTTCAAGGTTGGGCTTTGAGCCATTTGTATCCCCCCAAGGCCCCAAGTCACACTAATTATATACAGTATATATATATATAGGAGTGCTGTCATTGACATGGATTGAATGTTTAGATGCAAACTCTCAGCTGCCCAGTGAGGCAAAAGCGGACCCGGCAGTTCCAGGTAGTTCTCTGATCGAGGATGTCCAATTGAAACTGCTTAGGGACGGGACTGTGTTTCTTTTATTCTGGCGTCAAGTAGTGGCTCGCTCAGCATTTATTGAGTGGACTTGTCAGAACCAAAGTTGAAGCGATGCAGTGCAAATCTTCAGTGGGTACACACTCAAGCCTCTGACTTGTGTTTCTCTGGATCTACTTTTGAGCTTCCTTAGCAGGGCTTATACCAAGCTCATACAGGCTTCTGGATGAACTTGTGTCTTGAGCCAGTTAAAGCAGCCAAACAGTTTGCACTGCAGGACTGTTAGGGCAGGACTGTAGGCCACCGAGACAACTAGGGACTGGGGCCTCAACCAATGAGAAAGGAACATCGATCATGGGTCCCAGAAGCTTCATTGTCCTCTACAGGTTGTCCAAGATGGTCGAGTTCAAGCTTCATATATGCTATGTATCTAAAGCCTGTTGGGATCTCTAGCACCTCTCGCTCAATCATTCTTCATGCTCGACCATCACGGGTGACCAAGGAGATGGTGTCAGTCAAGCTTCGGGACACGAGGACACGATCCCGGTCCTCCATATCGTCATTTCCTGTGGCATATTGTTTAGTCCATTCTAGGGCCCAGTGGATGATGATGATGATGATGATGATGATGATGATGATGATGATGATGATGATGAGTAAAGACCTTTCTGGAAAAAATAGTCTAGTGTTCTGCCGACTGTTGCTGGTAATGGGACACCCCCTACATATCATGTCCTTTGTACTTATACAAAGTTGTTTTTGCTTGGGAAAGTTTGATCGTTTGCACAGGTACTGAGAAGTCTCTCCTGTGCAGATCATGAACAATCACTGCAGTACCAAGTTCACAGAAAACATCGCAAATATATACTATGGTTTCAGTGGTTTCAGGACCCAATAATGTGTTCTGCTTAGCTTGAATCCCCATCTGAAGTTGAGAGTGAAACATTGTGAAACATCTAGTTTTCAATGTTGTCCCTTGGGGATATATAATAAACAAGTCGGTTTGGTACCATATAATACCTATTGGTTGTACACAACCGGGGGTATCCCCTATATTTACCTCAAAATATCGGTTATGCTTCTTCCAACTCCCCACACTCTCCAACTCCCCACACTCCAAATCCTCCTCCCAACCCCCCCAATGCAACCTGGACCGTTTCATTTATACATGTGGGATCCTGTGGGTGTTTTTACTAGGGAGAACCCCCCAACCAATCAACCAATGGGCAAGTCCATTTCTCGAACCAAACCCAGCGGGGGAACGCCGTGTGGGTCACAAATCACACACACACCCATACCCAAACACTCCATGTACCTGTATGGAATATATGCATACATTCACCCCCCCAACCACCTCAATGGGGCGGCAGTCCTATGGCAGTCCCAAACAGGTCGTGTCTGGGAAATGCTTTGGCACCCACCACGACCGGCCTAAGTCGCTGCTCCGGCTCGCATTGGACGTTGCTGTACTCCTGGGGCTGCTTCTCCATAGGGGGTTGGCTCAGGCGACTCAGCGAAGACTGGACCAGGAGACACAGGAAGATCCATCAAGAAAACCTGTTCACTGCGGTCCATGCAAACTGTGCAATGGACGTTGAGTGTTTTGAAATGTGTTTGCTGTGGGATGTTGCATCCGCGTCTCAGGCTTGCGGGTCAGAAACTCACCAAGCCACCATGTTCTCCTCAAAAAGGACCTGTTCTGTGTCACAGTCTTTCAACCCAACAGTATCCAATGGAGTCGCTTTTCCTGGCACATAAAGGCTCACCACTAGGCTCATCCTTTTTCCACCAAGAATGGCCAAACAACTGTGAGATATTGTGCTTCTTCTTCTTCTTCGCATATGTACGTTCCCACATCAGAATTTGCCTGGTCGGTCAGTCTGCCATCCGAGCCATTTCAGAAAAGGAAGATGTTTGGATGCGTTTCCAGCTTGATTCAAGGTGGTTTGATCGGTGATCAAATCGCCAGTTCAAGTCCAAGAGAGGTTTCCAGACCCCAAAGAAACAAACACACACTCCATGGGACTGCCGTATTGAAGTACATTGGTGTGGTTGACCAGTAGTCAGTTTGGTGTGGCATCCAGTCCCCAGTCCAGGTGCATCTCTAGGAGTCCGGCCCGTGCAGCACCCGAAACAGCGACACTTTTCGGGGCTCACCAGCGGTGCTAGCACTTCACCCGCGGTGGTGTCTTCCTGGGCCACGGTCGTCACCGAGCCGATAGTGTTGGGGTAAAGAGGCCACTTAGACACTCCGTGTATGGCAGCCCACGAATTGAATCATGCGAAGAAAACAGTTCGGAACGAGTTAACAGGAGTTGTCAAGAACGGAGCGTTCTGAACGTGCAACTCATGAACATGTATGAACATATGGCATATGGGTAAAACCCCCAAACCCTGGTTGACCCGTGTTTATTTTGGACAGATTCGTCTGTGGGGGATGTGAACCTCCCATGGTTTGTAAGGTGAGGTTTTGATCCACAGCCATATTGCACCTTTGACTTCAGGTGCCTGAGGTCCTCAGGCACCTTGACCTTCACTGCGTACTTCGGCTCAACCACACCCGCACTGGACGCACCAACGGTCTCCAAGAACCCTAGAGGTCGGTAGGACCTCAATTTCGGACAACACGTGGGTCCGCAGCTACACCCGCTGAAAGCTTCATCGGAAATGGATGGAGAGAGCCATGAAGATGGACCATGAATGCCAAACAGGTGGCTTTCAATGGTTTTCACTCCACTTCCATGATAATCCCACAGAATGGCTCGGTCCTTGTTCCCCAAAGGCGTAAGGATGAGGATGAGGACGATCTTGACTTCCCCACCAAGACTTCGACAAGCATCGTCTCCCAAGACGTGCATGCACAGGAGTTCCAGTTCCACATTTGAGAGGCTGTACCCCCAGAACTCACCAAGAAGTCATATCCAAAGACTGACTGGTGCTTAGTAGGGAATAAGGGAAGTTTCGCCCCCAATAGAGATTCTATTGGATCCAGCCACCTCATTCCCTGCGAGTCGCACCAGTCAGCCAGAACTCACCAGAACTGGACCAACTCTCGAAGACTCATTTTTCGTGTCGCGTCAGCAGGAAGACGCATCCGAGCCGCTTCATGGACACCGCCCTGGCGCTCCTGAGCGGCATCAGCATGGTCAGTCTTTCCGCCTGGAGATCCAGTTGTGCCTTCTCAGGTTCGGTACGACTGGACACTCCAAAACGACATTCCCTCCCACAAACTAACATGGAACCCGAGACTCTCCGAGACTGGACCGGCTTCCAGAGCATGTCCTTTAAGCCAGTCATTTGGGTATCTAGGTTCACCTGCAGGGGAGTAACAGTTTTCACGTCTAACCGTCTAACACTGCACCTTCTGAGGTACGAAAACGATCGAACAACGGATCCCCAGGGCTCCCCGGAACCGGGCCAAAGACAGGGAGCTTCACCCAACAGATCTTACCCGGTGGCATCCAGTTATATACCACTATAGCTATATAGCTGGCAACCAGTGGTTCCAAAGACTAAAACATACTAAAACCATAGACCTAGAATCCCTGGTTACTGGTTCCTTATATACTAGTTTTTGGTAACTGGGATCCACTGGGTTATTAAAGAGTCTACCTTCTGGGAAGTTGAAGATGGCAGAAGAACATTAGAATGGACAAATCCCGGACTCAGTGGCAGGTGGGGGGATCCTCCACCGACGCGTGGCCTCCCGACGCGTTGAAACACCCTCTCCTCTATCATCGCCACCGTCCCCTGGTGCTCAGCACGGCCGGGGGGCGAGGACTCGCTCTGACTCGGTGGGAGGCAGCTTAGCGGTTTTGAAGATGGAGGGGCAAGCTGAGGCAGCTTGACTTCTGCAAACGTGGATCCTTGACTGCACCGAGGCCACCGGGGTTTGTCACCCAAAGACCCTCAAAGGGTCGCTCCGGAGACCTGAGCACTAGCTGGATTCATGTGCCTTCCACAAAAAAAACACTTCAGCAGCTTCTGGTGATCCTTCTGTTTGTGGACGCATCGGGCATCAACTCTGTACCCAAGTTCCAGGGTATTGACCAACACATTCCATCTGGCACGGCATGTAACACTGCTGGCACAGCCTTCCAAGTTCTTAAGACCCTGAGAAGCTTTGATCCAAAAGCATCCAAAAGCTACCATGAAATCAATCAATCAATCAGCAATTCACCTTAAGATAGTAAGGTGGACTTGCATGTCGTCCAAACTGTTCTCAGTTGAGCTTTTCTTGGATGGCACCTGCTCATGGACCCGAGACTCTTACCAAACGCCCATCGAATTCGATGGCAAGACCAAGTTAACCGAACTGTTCGCTTGTTCTTGTGTAGTGGGGAGACCAATTATACCAATTATTCCCCAAAAAGGGCAAGCGATCCACTTTCCCTGCGGACGCCAGGTCCGCCAGGTGCACTCTGTGTACGGTGCTTTCCACCAACTGCCACGGTCCGCAGGTGACCGGCGTCGTCTCGCATGAAGAACGAAACCCCCCTATACCATCCATGTGACATGGGGGGCCATACAATGTCTCACAACAACCCGCCTTCTCGGCATGGTGAGGTATCTTGTGAATCCACCCGGCACGACGCTGGCTGAGCGGCTCAGGCACCCGGAATTCCCTTCTTGAGGCCCTATATAGGCGGCCCTCTAACCTAGACCGACTGTGGGTCCCGCTGTCCGCTACGTCGCTGCGGTGTCAGCTGCCCGCCTCATTCCGCGGATGCGGATGCTGCGGATGCATCGGTCATTGACCGAGCAAGGCTTGGACCAGAACCCAGATCGGGCGGGCTTGGTCAATGCCCAAACACTTCATGTACGGCATATATCAACCAGGACCCTCCAACAAGTCACCACCTGCAACTTTTAAGTCTACAAAAGCCTCCAAACGAGACCTTTTGGACTGTGCTGGAATATGCCTGTACATTGACCAATGAAGCACTCCAATGTAGGCAAATACATGTATAGTGTTTGGGATGCGTAGCACGCCGAATCGAAGACAAAGATCGGGCTTGGACTGCATTATTTCACCCCTTTCATCCCTCCCGAGGCAAATATCTTCCATTCGTTCATGGGTTTTAGTGGGTTTTCCCAAGTCCCACCCCAAAAGGTTCTCCCAAGTCCCAACCCAAAAAGTTGGCAAGGTGATCTACTCTTCCATTAGGCCCTAGGCTAGGTATGGTCATTCTCTCAGACGTGAGACTTCCATTCTATTCGTATGAGGATCTTCTCTTGTCTTTTGATTCGGCTGTCCAAGAAAATCACCATAATCTATAGGGCTCAATGACACCACATATAAATATAATATATGATACTGATACCATCGAATATGAACTGTTCCAACAACCCGCAGTTCGACTCCCAGGGGCCCACTCTTCGTTCACGGTTAGATGGCTAGTGCTGCCTTTTTTCATGATTTCCTATCACCCACGTTGGTCATCGTATAAAGCGCCATCAGTGGACTGAAAACCACACCAAAGGTGTTTCAGAACACTAGTTCGACTACCCCAGGCCCAACCCGGGATCATTTTTCAGGTAACTGGATACCTCTCTTGGCGCAGGATTTCCTCCCAGCCACTACCCAGCCGCCTCCTCGATCCCCTCCTCAGGCACCTGAGATCCGAATCCGTTCGTTACAGCAGGCGCGGGCGCGCGCCGCGCGCCGGATGCCTGGAAAGTTCAGATCCTCACGTTCCCATGGCGCCGGAGCACCCACTCAAGCGAGGTCATCCAAGGCACCCCGGAATTGGGTCGTTTTCTGCGGTCTTAAGGTCGAACATTTGCCAACGGGAAGGGTGCCAAGATGTGCCAAAGGTGGGGTTGGATGACCCCTGCCGAAACCAGGATTGTCAACCCGGTTCTTCACTTGATCTTTACAAAACACCTATAGCGGTCCCACCATTCTATGGTGGAGAGGTCATCAACCGCAACTGTCGAGGTGTTCCATGTCTTCGTAATTCGATCGCCGCCACTTCCTCGGAAACGACGACTCCCAACTGGAGGCCCAACTGGTGGGATCTGGAGGCCTCGCACAGGAGCAGAGAGATGGCTGCTGGCCCACGCGAGACTATTTTGGAATCTGTTGTGGCATCAGTGAAGAAAAGGTGCTGCCGGAAATCAGTGACCTTAAAGAGCACCCTCTCGATTGTAGTCCTTGACGTCTTTGACTCCCAGGCTAAAGAGAAACAGCACCCTCCAAGGGATACACATGGACCAGTTGGATGTTCGGGTTCTTCAAACTTCCGTAACACGCGTGTTGGTAAAAATCACATGGACTGGGGGATATGCACGGATTCGAAAGCTACAGAAGAGTCACCTGACGCGGCACAAAATGTTTACTTCGAATAAATATATAGGTTTATTCACTGACTGAAACTGAACACCCTCCGAAGAAGTTGCCGGACATCAATCTCGACTGTGGACTAGTTCATGAACTTGATAGGGGGAGATGTTACTTGCAAAAACTGTATAAGCTAGCAAAGGGGTGGAGAACTCCCTGTAGCTCCGAACGGTTCCGTGGTTAGGGAACATTCAGATCAGTAGTCAAACGGTCAGCTCCCTTCTTTTCCTCAATTCCGCGCAGGGAGCTGATATGCCTTAGCTCTGTCGGGCATCAGAAGCACTCTTCCAATTTTCGTTGGTAAGTACACCGGGCCACTAGGAGGTGAACTCCATACACCGGCAGTGGAGAGAACTTTCAATTACCAATGCACTACACCCCAACGTACTAGAAGCATGCAAGGGCACGAAAGAGCAATTTTAAGGGCAAGGACCACAGAATGACAGGCACTGTGCTGACATGGACCGAGAAGTTGTGGCGACGCCACTATGAGTCGCGAAGACCATCGTGCGAGATGCCATCACTCCAGTTAGTAAACTGGGGACCCATTCGAAGTATGCGATGCATTCCAAGTGGATCAAAAGGCTGTGTGCGCTTCTCCCGCTGGTGGGGACACTTGCTGCGCTGCCACTCAGCGCAAAGGCGGGTGCCGTCTCTCAGGGTCAGCAAAATGAGCAGCGCCACCAGAACCACGCCCTGTGCCTTGCCCAGTGTCCGCACCGGGGCCAGGAGCTGCCTAGGAATACTCTCGCCAAGATAGTTTAACTGTACAAAACGCTGGTTTTCGGAGTCTGAGGTACAGTTTGCAAATGGTCTTGATGAAAATGCAACTTATGCCTGGATGTTTTTTGCATCCGGGTGTTGAATCTGGGAAGGGAAGATCCAACACCTCGATGGCCAAGGCCGCCAACGCCGTGTTGCACGTTTGACATAAAGGCTTCTCTGCTAGCGAGCTCCACAGCATGGCGGCGCAGCGCTGCCAGTGCAGGCTCAAGTGGTTTGCCAAATGCAGCTTGATTGAAGTACTCTTGAAGCATGTTCGCCTCCTCTCGTAGGTAGCAGCGACAACAGTCCCCACCTCTTCAAAAGTGTAGGGCACGTCAACGTCGAACGTGTCCACCACCAGCTCTGCAATACCAGCGGGAGGGGCAACGGATCGCGAATCACAAGCGCGCCGTCACTTGAGAAGTCAAATTGATGGGTGTAGAATGTCACCCAATCCAAACAAACCTTTCAATCATTGGTGCGAACGAATCTGCCCATGTTTACTTTCGAGTCAACGACAGCATCGAGTGGGAGGGGCCTCGTCTTGCTGGACTTGGAGAGGTCTGCGATTATGACGATCGATTCAGGCCAGTGAGTGAATGTGCTCCAGTGTAGGCAGGATTCCCATCTGAATAAGGATTGCACCGCCGCCTCAAAAAAATTTCCGGCGATCGCATGCTCTGCGAATGAAATCTCTTTGTTGCCGTAAACATTCTGTGTGAGTGCGCTCATGTCTCTCGTGCATTGCTCCCGGCATCAGGGCGCCCCAGCATTGCAGGCCATGCTCCGCGGCGGGCATAGGATCTGACACGCTCCGCTGAACGTGTAGTAAAATTGCTTGAAGCCTTGACTGCACTGTCTAACTTGCTGCGATGACGGCACATCGTAAACTTCACCTTTGCAGAATATATTTGAATTCACCATCAAACACAGAGGTGAGCCAGTGAGTTTGATATTCTTATTCAGGTGCCTTGTCATGTGCCAGGCTAGCCAATCACCACCCGATAAGTGCAAACTTGCTACACTTATGCTGAAACCTCATGGTTGGTGGCTTGATGTGGTTTCAACTTACTTAAGAATATGAGTCAGTGACGTTCAACCATCCCAAGTTTAATTATTCCAAGTAAAGGGTGAACATACCCTGGGCCCTAGGGCTCCTGAGAAAATTGTTGAGGTGGGAGTCAGGGGGGGGTCTAACCACCTCACCAAAGGATATGTTCATGGTTGGAGCCCTAAAACCCACCCCAAGCCATTACACACCTGAGAAGGAGCTCCAAAAGGGTGGATCTTGGTGTGCATTAGCCCTGTAAGATCTAATTGCAGCAATACCAGGCTAGAGCGCTCAAAGACCTGAGCCCTTCAAAATGCCGTGAGGGACGGAATGGCGAGAAAGTCCGCTGAAGGGTAATTATTGTTTAAATCATCGATATGGGCCTTAAAAAATGCTGCAGGTATGTGACCTTGGCGTCCCAAAGTCATATCACAACACAAGGAAGACCTTGCAATGCCTTCCAAAGTGTTCATTGCCATTCAAATACCCCGAGACCAGGACTCAGGAGAGAGATCCCCCTCCTTGTACTGTACAACATGTGCAATGCAGTAGTAAAGGTCGTAAAGGTATATAGAGTCCCTATAAGAACGGTTGGCACACACAAACACACCGAGTCGTGTCGGTGCAGCGAAGAAAAATCTGTGACATCAAGAAACACCTGAATAGCAACCTAACAAGCCTTTAGAAAAGAGAGACAGAGAGAGAGAGAGAGAGAGAGAGAAAAAAAAAGCAAAAGGAAAGCAAAAGAAAAGAAGGACAAAGTCAACGTGCTCTAGGTGATTATGCGCAATACTGAATCGATACTTGCAACATCTTGCAACAAACCAGCACTGCAGCCTAACAAGCCTCTAGGACTCTGCAACAGAGAAGAGAAACGCATCTGGAAGGAAGAAAAATGAATTGGTGTATTCCGAGCAGCGGTGCCAAATGAAGGGCAAATTGATGATTAATCGAAGCCGCCCCGTGTCAGTGTGTTGGAAACACACAATGAAGCCGAATCCGGCGCAACCTGGATTACACCTAACAAACCTCCAGGAAGGGAGAAAAACGCAACTGCCAGCAAAAAATATTACTGTATTCCGAGCAGAAAACACAGAATTACAGCCTAGCAAGCCTCTAGGAAAGGAGAAAAAGCAGAGCGAGAAACGAAGCAGAAAGGTCAAAAAATGACTTGACGCATTCCGAGCAGCAGTGCCGAATGAGCGGCAAACTAATCAAGAGGCACCCTGTCTCAGTGCGCGGGGAACGCACAAAGAAGCCGAATCCGACGCAACCTGGACTACACCTAACACGACTCTATGGAGAAAAACAGAGAAGACAAACGCAACAGGAAGAAAGAAACATTACTACGAGGTATGTGGCATATGGCAAATTAAAGGTAAATTGAAACCGACGTTAAAAGTTGGCTATAGTGATTTTCTCGTGTGAAACTGATTCAGTGGTAGAAAAGGAGGCCCTGCGGCATTGCACGGAGCAGAACCGCTGCGCTGGCTGGTGTTATGGGCGTAACACATCAAATGCATCTGCTGCGTCACAAATCCACTGCTCACTCACAGCCGCGGCATGTCTGGAGCACAAGCCAAACATGCTGCCTCGTCGTAGGTAAACAGTGGCGGGACAGGAATGGGATGGTCAGTGGGCGATGATTGTGTTTTGGAGCCACTGCCGCGACAAGCGTTCGCGTCAGCAATACCGTAATACCTTGTGAACAGCAGCCTCACGTGCTTGGCGACCTGAAAGTTCTGCGTCCTGTGGCGCGAGCCTTCAAACTCAGCAACAAAAAAGGCATCCCATGTAGACCCACGCCTGGTCTGCACTGCCTTGAGCTTCAAGAAGTCGTGCAGGGAGGCACATTCAGCTCGAGCCACAGATCGTGAGTCTGGCAAACTTCCACGACTTGAAGTACCCACCCAAAAAGCTGTTCCTCCAAAAGTGTTGCTTCCAGCTTGTAATGCACGAGGACAACAACAGACTTGAGTTGAGAACTGGAGCATTCGGCGTCAAGCATAGCACCAACCTGACAGCAGGGTGGGGCACTGCCCTGTCACTCACGGGCGTACGGAAACAACTTCTGCCAATTGTCGTACCTCTGGTAGTCACTGACGCCAACATCGACATGCACAGATTCATTTAGGCCACTGGAGGGGAAGCTGAGAAGGTGGCGGTGGATCCTGAGGGTTCCAAAAAGGGACATTACCAAAAACAGGTCCGGGGGGATTAATAATCCAACCAAAACACGTGCAGAGATGAATCGGGGGGGATTTCTAGTTTGCATTGAACATGTACAAAGAAGCCGTGGTGAGGGGTGCCCAAATAGAAGCCGCCCTATAATCCCTAGGGCTCCTGGCCCACCTCCGTTTCGAAAATGGCTGGGGTGGGTGCCAGGGGGGTCTAACCACCGAACCTGAGGATATGGGACAGGAGCCCTAGGGGGACAGGGGGTTCTGGTACAAATTCTCTGATCCACTTCCAGGTCCATCAGCGCCACGAAATCAGTCTCCCGTGCCTCCACCGGCCGGTGCCTCGGGTCGAAGAGAAGGTTCCCGAAAAAGCCTCCAGGGAAGACCTTTTGGAAGAATGCATGGGTCCGCCAGGTTGAAGAACCCTATAGAACTATCCACTTAACCTCTGTTGGTGGATATAGTTTCAACTCCGTAGTAAAGCCATCAAATCAATGGCTCAAGCAGGGTCGGAGAACAAAACTCAGTTTTTGGCGATGAACAGGCTAACATTTACAATATGGCAGCTTTGTTACCCTAACAGTTACCAGCAGCAGCAACAACAACAACAACAACCACCACAACAACAACGATACTCACTGATTCCCCGCGATTCCCCGAGTACCGTCATCGCTCTCGGCATCCCAGCTGGCTCAGCTTCCGACCTCAATGGAGGACGGAGAGGAGTGGAGCCGAACGACTCCGTCGGAGGTGGTCGGTGATTTGCTCCAGCAGGGCGCTCCTCCCTCTCGTACGATGTTGTTGGTGTATTCGACTCCTTTTCTTTGTGAATGTTGGTATATATGATTTGATGGTTTTGTTGTTTAACCTCCAGCATTAAACATCATAAGGTGCATATAATTACTGATCTCTTCCGTTTCAACATGAAGGCCATGAACTATCAACGCGCGCGCGTTAAGCGGCGTGTCTCAGCTCCAAGCTGCAAAGCCACCTGAGCTCTTGGCGGCGTGCTCTGACGAGGTTCAGAATCAGCTGTTCCCAATCCCCGCCCAACACAAGGGGTACGTAGGTAGTAGGATGTGGGCCTATCCGTGACTGACAACAACCAGACGGATAACATGTTGGCATCAACACAATCGGTCGCGCTTCGCGTGGCTTTGAACCAGCTTGCAGCATTGACATCTAAATCTGAACAACTTGAATCTAAATCTGACAATGTAAACACCAAACCTACTACCAAACCTGCACATGTAAACCCTCCAACATGATGCAACACCTCTCGTCCAGACCTGTCCTTCACACCCCCTCTCACCCCTTACTGCGATCCCCACATATGCGGCTTTGCGTGAAGCTCCGCAACCCATCCTGGACGAGGAGACACCATGAACCCGGTGAGCCAAGAACCAGCATCCCCATGCTACGTAGTAGCATCCCCAGGGTCCCGTGTGGGTCCTAGGGATCCAAGTACCTTCTCAGGTGATTGGAGACACTCAGACATGTAGGTGCCAGGAGGGTCCAGTCGCACCTTCTGAGGAGGTACGGAAGGAGCCCTATAGGGTATATCAGGTCACTGGCTACATATCTGGGGAGTTGTTGGAGAGAAGACGCGAAAGAAAGGGAAGGCTTTGTTCAGCCAGCATCTCCCTGATCGTGTCGAACACAAACAGATTACTGAGTACTGTTATGAGATTTTCACACCAGTGAGATTGGTGCCATGCCGCCATGCCCCTGTGAACTTGTCCAAATTGAATGTGGCCTTTCCCAACAGCGATCAAACTCCTGAATTGTATCCGGGATCCTTACTTTCTGAGTGGCTTTGGAGGGACCAAAAACAGCTTTCTCAGGACATCTGTCGTTGGATCCATTGGCTACTGCGTGTCGCTTCTGCCCACGACCCACGAACTTCTTGCGCAGTTGAGTTAGGCTCAACGCTCCAGGCCTCTGATTGCACTGAGGCCCAACGAGGTGACGTCCAAACACTTCACGTCCTCCACTTCATCGAATCTTTTAAGTTCAATCTTGCCATTTTGAGGGAACATCGCTTCAGGTTCAACCAAACCTTGCCCATTTTTTCAAGCATAGGAGGCGTCTCCAGGGTGCTGGGTCCGCTAATTTGGACTCTTTCAATGTCTTCCCTCCCAGCCACGGGTGGGGCAAACCGCATGAGTGACTTGAGACGCGCCCCATGTCATGCAGACTCTTGATGACACCAAAATCACCAAACATGGATTGTAAAACCAATTCAAATGATTTCATAATGGAGGGATTTAGTTTTGGTCATCAGTCTACCTGAAACGCGTCCCCTCACTGACCTGCCAGCAGGACATGCAGGACATAACCTCCCCCCTTTTGGCCTCTATGATTTCGATGCTGACCTTCGGTGATCCAAAGGCGGCTGAACGCGCCATGGCGCAAACGCCCCCTGCTATTCAGGTGCGCCTGAACGCGCCGGCATGTGCCTTCGCGTTTTGGAGCGACCCGACTGATAGTTTTGCCACTGATTGAGTGTCTGAGAAGGACACGCTACGCCGTACGCGTGTCATGGTTTATTGTTGTACGTTGATGTGCCGATGTTGATGATGTGGGTGTTTTCCATTCAATCTTGAACTGCACCGAGAAAGACTGCTCAACGTGATGCTCACAATCCGGCGAGTCGCCCGATCATCTAACCGCTGGTGAAGGGTGAATGCAATATACCAAATCATGCGACGCACGTAAACATGGAACGTGAGTAACATGCGAGTATAAAACGATACTATAGGCAGAACCCTTTCGATATCTGAGGATGCTTCTTCCATCTATCTTCACTTCGAGGCCTTCCGGTTGGTCAGGGTGAAACATGCCATTCCCAGGCGCGTGGCCTTTTCCCACGCGTCTTGGCGGTGGAGGCGGCAAGGACTCAAATCATGCAGGATTCTTCATCGACACATTCTCAGGGTTGCTACTGCTTGTTCATTTTGAGCTGGACACATTCTGGACTCCGGACCCTCCAAAATACCTCGAAAATGGGACAGGACCCGTTTTTCCATGACCCTTATCAAGAACATTATAGGCACTTGCTCCCATTCGTCCAAGGTACTTTGAGACTGCTGCCTGGTGACACTCCGTCCCCAGTTCTGGATCCCCCCGATCAGACCGGGTCTCCAGTCCGGCACCGGTGGTCGCGTAGAGGGACCCAAAGGAGTCCAACCGGTTCGAAGGGTCCAACTCCGGTCGACCACGGCGACACGGCGACACGGCGAGGGTCTGACTCAATCCAATCGGAGCTATATATGCTAGAAGGATCCTTTCGGCCAAATCGGACGGAGGCGGAAGATCCTTTTGGTCCCAGGTGCTTCGAGGTACATATTCCAAGAGAGGTTGAGAGACCAGAACTAGGACGCTGGTCTGTGGTACATATGGGATGGGCTACAAAGGGCTGTTCAACCTCTCTAGGTTGGCTTTTCACCTGGTGACCCGGACTTCGATCGATCGATCGAACACAGGAGAAGCCGGCGATCGTCTTCAGGTTCAGGAACGCTCTCCTGGCGTTTTCCCGACCCAATTCTCAACGTCGGTGGCAGAAATTCCCAGGGCCTCCAGCAGCTTCAGTGCAGCCAGAGCCTCCTCCCCTGGTGCCAGGTCCTCTTAGCAGCCCTAAGATAGTACCAAATGTCTTGCGGTGGTGTGCTTTTACGAAGCGGATCTTGCATACCTCCGGCCAAAACGCGCCGCAGAATCAGAAGCCTCCTTTTTTACGTCCTACATTGCACTTCCTCAGCATTTCGTCTACCCTCACCCTCTCATCGCCATGTAGCGCGCACCGCGCGGTCTGAGTGGGCATGGCCAAACTCAGTGGAGAGTCGCGCGCCTTGGCAGCAAGCAGGCGGGCGCACATCGTATTGTATACAAATTAAATATCCCTAGGGCTCCAACCATATCCTCAGAAGATGGTTAGACCCCCCAAACCCACCCCAACCATTTTCTTAGGAGGTGGTTGGAGCCCTAGGGTATACTCCAAAGAGTCACTTCAATGTTGCATCATGTTGCATCATGTTGCATCCAACCTCATCAATTTCCGGTCCTTGCCAGTTCCAAAGGAGAATGCTTTTTGGATGTTTTTCGTCCCCTCCCAGTAAGAATGGTTCTGAAAGCTTTCCCCACCAGTCCACTCTCGCTACCCAACTACGAGCTCCGCACTTCTGCCCTGCCACCAAGCCACACGCGCCACGCGCCACGGCCACCATGGCTCACCCCTCAGCGCCCGCGTCCGCGCCGTCGTCGCCAGCGTCCGGGCCGTCGTCGCCGGCGTCCTCCGCGTCGGCGGCCTCCACGTCATCGGAGCGGAGCCAAATGATCCTGAGAGAAGGGGGGCTGAGGCAGTGGAGAGAAGGCTGAGGAGAGAGAGAGAGAGAGAGAGACATGAGTGATGGCTTCTTGTTCCTTTTTCTCTATCATGAGAGAGAGAGAGATCCGTGTCTTTGAGTTTTTTCCAACTTCGATTTGGAATGAGCTCCTCGGATTGCATCAGACTCCTATAGAAGCAGGATATGATATCTTATGAAATCGGGCTAAACTAAGAACTTCTGCAGTTGACGATGCTCTGAAGAAACTGGGTTTCATGGAACCAGCTCCCAATCCTTTCGTAGCAATCTCCGCTGACTCTCTTCAAAAGGTTCATTCGTGGCGTGAGCATCTGCCGATGGGCCGGGCTGTTCTGGTGTCTAAATGAGGGAGACCAACTGCATCACAATTCATGTTTACAATGGCCCATGGTCTGAGAAGCTTGGATTTGCTGAAAAATGGTCCCCTTAAGGGGATTTAACTTTAACCATAGAAAAACAAAAAAACATCACCTGATCAGCAAAACCAGGGAAGTAGTTTGGTGATGTCTTCCAAAAAAGAAGAACTCGGGAAGTGGGCCATTGATGCCGCCACGTCTGAACCAAGCTGGAGCTGAGCGAAATGATGGATTCCACTCTAATTCTATATCTCTTAATCCTTTAACTTTAATCACTCATTAACTTCAACTAATTACCAGGGTCAACCAACCAACCAACCCAACCCACAAAACCCCGATTTGTATCCCTTCGCTTTCCGTGACCAACCTGCCTCCCGACGTCCCATTCTGCCCGGGCATCTGCTTCGTGGGTGGCGAGCCGGGTCCCGGATTCCACTCCACTCGCTCCACCTGGAGACCCGCCGTTTCGGCGCTCAAGGTCCGGCGAGAGAGAGCGCACAGCCCGGATGCAGCGAGATTGACCATGGAACATGCCGGATGTGCTTGGGCGCTTCCACCCTTGAGCATACTAGGACCCTGGGACAGGTCACCACTTGAGACCTGGCGTGGGCCCAGCTTTGTTGGAGGATACTGGTCTAGGATCTTCAAAAGCATTGCAAAACATATTGTTCCATCGCTGCGGGGTGTCGGACAGTCCCCCAAATGTCCTCATGCTTGACCCTTTCTTCTCCGAACAACACCACGCGTGGAAACCTCCACCATGGAAACCTCGGGAAATGCCAGCTTCCAACGAATCTGGATCACCCATAGATCATCCCCAAAAATGGATCAAAATGGCGCAAGAAGGAGAGACAAGACCGGACGGTGCGTGGTGCGTGCCGGGCACCTCTTCTCCTAGCGCAGGAAGGGCGTTGAAGTTCAGGTTATGCCAAAATCTCCTCAACCGAGCGAGCGCGGGCGCAGTCGCAGTCGCACCTCGATCTGCGCGGATGTTCCGGCGGTTCTTAACTCCCATGAACCACCCGTGTTCGGTGGCCGGTTCTATTCACGGTGGGCACGAACTCCTGGAAAATGTTTAAGCCACTTGCTCTTCCAAAATCGATGGTTTTGGAAAAATCCGATATGGGCTTAAGCGGCTTAAACATGCATTAAACCCATGAAACCCTTCTTCCACCTCGGTTCAGTGTCCCCAAGTGGTCCCAAAGGTCGCTTTGTCATGCAGCATGCTTCACCACGGACGTTCCTGGGTAGGAACATCCCCAAACACCACACCGCGGTGTCCGATCTCGAAAACCCCAACAGGACGTGATGGGACTGGCATGGGGCCGCCGACATCCCCAGAGATGTCGGATAGAAACACATGGGAATTGAACAGTCACAAGTGCCCCTAGGGCTCCAGTCATGCCTTCTAAGAAGGTGTTTGAGGTGGGTGCCAGGAGGGTCCAGTCATACCATCTGAGGAGGTACGACTGGAGCTTTAGGGTGCTTTGTGGTGCTTTCAACACATTCCTCTTTTCTATGTTCTTGTTGGCTCTAGGCTTCACTCTTATAGCTCCTCCAGCCGCTTCGGCAGCTCCAGCAGCTCGACACCCCGGATCCCCAGTTCCTCCCGGCGGATCCGCGCTTGCGCTTCGGCCACGGCGCTTGGCATCCCAACAGAGCTCCCCGCCATAGACGCTCAAACGGTTCCGGAAGGTGCGCGGCGCCCCTGGCCCGCCGGATACGGAGCAAATGCTGCCCTCCACGTGGTAGCCTGGGCTGGTGGAGCTTTCAGACCCCACAGGTGGACGAGTCGAGTCTGCACCGGTCGAGCTCCATCCCTAAACAAGCAGCTGGACTGGAGGGGTTCTGGTTTTGGAGTCGCTTGCGACCTGCAAATGTTTAGCTTTGAGTCGAAGTCTAACCCAAATCATCCAAACCATCCATGTATGGAATAGATGCCCAAATTGACCCCGAATCCACCACCCCAGCCGACCGGCAACAAAAAAGGCAGTCCCATTAAGGTGAGCGGATCACTTGCGGGCGTCGCCCGCGTAAAGGTCCGGCAGGAAGTTGGATTTGTATGGTGTGTTCCACTGCATTGAGTATCAATGAGCAAAGGTTATGTACACACATTGATTGATATTGATGGTAGAACCTCTCTTCAGAGGCTTGCGGGGTTGAAATATCATCAAGAGTCTGCATTACAGTGACTATTCTCCAGAGTCCAGATTGATCTCGACAAAACGTTCTAGCTGCTAGGCCTCACAGGCGGGTTTCACTCGTGAGCCTCACTAGTTTCACGTGGGTGTCTCGCGAACTTTTCAAACAGGTCAATCTACATTGACCTAGATGTAGGCATATATGGCATACATGGAGTGTCTGGGATAGAGATTGACCAAGAACTAATACCCTATAGGTCCTTACCTCCTCAATGAGCAATGTGACTTGCATGACCAGCTCCAGTAAAATGAGGTCTGCGACTTGTAGGGATAAACGATTCCCGAGGACAGCAGTCTCAATTCATCTGCCCCTGTCAGACCGCAAGGCACGACACTTCTTTGGGCTTCAACGCGCAAGTTGTGCAGTCTTGAACAACGAATAGCCGTGCATTCTCCCTGAAGCAACAAACATTGTAACATGGGCAAACAAAAGCCCTACTATACACTCTGGGTGTAATGCCAAGCTGGAACTCAAAGAAACACGTATGCATGCACATATATACACAGATATGTAACATATATATATATATAAATATATCGACACCTGCAGTCACAATACGGGGTGCGATCCATGGAGGTTAGGGGTGCCCAGAACATCCACTCACTGGATGGGACTAAAACCCACTCCGTACTTGTGACTCCTGGTATATGTCATGTCCTTTTGAGGTCAATCTGAAGAACAACCGTTCTTCGATATCTCTCACCCGTCTCACCCCGACAAGTCGGCTTCTGCCTCCGGGGGCACCTTCCCATCAACGAAGCGCACTTCCTCCAAGTGGCTAATACTGGGGTCTTCCTCATCGGTCCACTTCCCTTGAACTCGGTCTAAGAGGTCTTTCTCAAAGCGCTGTTGTGCGGACCTCTGCGCCTCTGCGGGTGCGAGGCTACAAAGGCACGCAGGTCTAAGGAGGCTGGAGCCCACCGGACTGCGAATGGAATGGACCTAAGGTGGCAGAACCTGGTCAAGGAAAACCCCGGATTCGAAGCATCATTGAACGCAAACAGAAGGGATTAAACACGGATGTTTTGGGGTCGATGGATGAATCAGGGACGAATCACAACGGGCTGATGAATACCCCAGGGATCCAAGTACCTTCTCAGAAAGTGATTGGAGACCCTCTTATGTAGGTTTTGAGGGTTCAAGTACCTTCTGAGAAGGTACTTGGATCCCTAGGGATAGAAAATGCATGAACTATACAGTACAGCTTCTTCAAAGTGATCTTTCTGGAGCCCCTGTTTGTGTGAAATCCCCAAACATGAAGTTCGGTAACTTTGAACAGCCATGAAGAGCCAGTTCGCACTGCAAACCCACCCCCAACACCGTACCTGATCCCAACCGGGTAGAAGTTAAAATCAAAACATGGTGTGTCAACAAGCGGACATCAGTGGCCGGTTTGCCTCAACTCAGCTGGTGCGCGGATCCATGGGCCCATCGACACTTCTCGCCTGATTGATGGCTGCCCGGTCACGTTGCTGCGCCTGCCGCTGGGCAGCCCAAATCTGCCGACGGGGGTCGTCGCTAAAGCTGAAGCTTTTGCCTTTGCCTTTCCCTTTGGCTTTGCCCTTGCCTCGGCGGATGCGAGTGGTTTTTGGGATCGGTTTTGAGTTCGGACCACCGGCGTTGGGGGGGCGGCCGAGTCCAGCCACTCGTGCAGGGGGGCACCCGGTGTGCAGGATCTTTAGGAGCGGTTTTCGGAGTACTTAGATTAGACTTAGATGGCACAAAGCCCTACATGATGCATATGACATGCATTTTCGGTGGAGGTTCCACAAAAACCACCTTTTGCATCCTTTTGCAAATGGTGTCCACTGTCAGACGGGGGGTGGAGTCTCGCATCTCCTTGGCGAAAAAAAACGGGTCGAATGACCTGAGTTCTTTTCCAACTACAAATGATTCCCTAGGGATCCAAGTGCCTTCTCAGAAGGTACTTGGACCCTCCAAACCTACATAGCAGTATCTCCAATCACCTTCTGACAAGGTACTTGGATACCTAGGGATTGGAGGGAAGGTTGCAAGTTTCATCTTTTAACTATAAGTGTTCAGAGCTCAGAGCTGAAGATGAGGTTAACATTCAGTTCAAGAGAATGAAACATGACCGATAGGGTGACTGTTCACATAGGGTGACTGTTACATTGTTTGACCTTAACACTCACGTGTTTGCACCATCTTCTTCTCCCCATGCAGCATCATCAGTTCACATCCACCTGAACTAATCACCTTTAACTCAACACAACAAACACCAGAACGGAGCTCAAGCAGCACGCCATGTTTTTGGCTACAACCAGTCCACATCTAGCATTCTGTCCAGACCTCATGTAAACCCCCATCTAAGCAACACCAGAACACAAACTAGGACCTCTTTCTAGACTCTTCTAGACCGACCGACATAAGGACACTGCATGACACCACCAAAGAGTTGTCTAGCACTCCCAAAAAACTTGGATTTGCTGAGGAACGTGGAAAAACATTCCCCATAAGGGGGTTTAACAATTGGGAAAATAGAACATCTCCTTAAGCCTTGAGCAACACCAGCCCTAGGGCTCCAAATACCTTCTGAGAAGATATTTGGGGTGGGTTTAGAGGGGTCCAAATACCTTCTGAGGAGGTACTTGGAGCCCTAGGGCAGGAAATGGAGGCCCCCGCAGTTCTTGTTAATTGTTAATCTGCCGCTTTACATCCCTTTCTTCCTCCATTTCTCCATCTTCACAGTGTCCCCAACATGGATCTTCCAACATCCTTCACCACCGCCCCCCCCCAGCTATCCCCAGCACGGCGCGGCGGGCGGTCGGTCTTCGGGTATGGCCGAGAGTCCTTTGCCGCCCTTGAAGCCATGGCTCGGGTATTGGTATGGGTTGCCCGACCAGCCCTGGCCCATCCCCATCTGGCCCATGCCCATCTGGCCCTGACTGCCTCAGAGCAACAAGCGAGTCGAAGAGTGAAACGCCGCGGGGGCTGCCGTGCTTGCGGGGTGGTGGTTGCGGTGAGTGTGGAAGGGGGGGGGGTCGATTCTAATTTGGTCTTTGTCAATTTGTTTATAAATTGATTTTTGTTGGATAGTGTTTTAGAAGAGGGAGGGAGAGGGAAAAGAAAAAGGGAACGGTTCTGTCGGGCATTACATCGGGTATTACATAGGGTTTCGTACGTTCAACATAAATATAAGAATCAAATGGTGGCCAATAATTAACAACAAATAAGTCATATATAGTCATAAACCCAGACCATCCATGTTTGGTGCTTTCAGGGGGTCAATAGAGACAGATACACCAGACATGGAGCTTTTGGGAAATAGAAGGAAGTAGATAGTCAACACATATATATGTCATCTGTCTGTTTCTCTGTCTGTCCGTATGCATGTGTATGGATTTGAGATTTGAGGACCTGCCTAACCAGAACTCCTCCATGATTGATCGACCGACCTCCCCAAAACCGACCGTGTAAGGCGTATACGGTGGTCTTTCATCCAACATCTCCTAACCAGCCCTTAGCTAAGCAGTCCTTTCACTCCATAATCCCATATAAAGCCATCTCCCTCTGCCCATCCTTCCCCATCCTTCCCCCATCCTTCTGCCATCCCCATCTCTGCAATCTGCGCCACCGGGGAAGGGTGTCCCCATGGGCATTGACCCTGGCCCCATCATCGTCGCGGCGTCCCCCGGGCGCATCCCGGTCGCGGCGGTCCCCCAGGCGGTCCAGCTGCCATTCGGGCCGCGTCCGGCGGGTGCACAGGTGACGTTCGACGACGCTGGGAGGAAGGACGGAGGAAGGACGCCAGGTGCAATCCGACGCCAGCTAGCAAACGTGGCATTTCCCGGCTCTGGCCATGGAAGTTCCATCCCCAAAGCACCCTGATTTTAGAAGCGAACAAAAGGGTTCGGGAACGTGCCCAAGGATTCGAGGGGCCCACCATGGCCCACCACATGATTGGAGATGCACTCGACTTGACCGCAGCTTTTCAACGCCGGTGACGGACCTGAACCCGCCGCGCAAACGGCGGTTGTGGCCCACGGCGTGGTTCCAGCCGCGCCAGGTCCACCGGTCATCCGCCCAAACGCAGTCCCCCAAAAACGTCACCAGAGCCAGAGCGTCACCACGTGTGCTAGACTTGTCATACCCAGCCCTAGGGCTCCAGTCGCACCGAAACTTGTTTCGATGCGACTCGGGGCCCGAGTGCCAGGGTCCAGTCAGACCGAAGGAGGTAACCTCCTGGAGCCCAAACGGGATAAGCATGTTCCCTCAAACTAGGTGGATCCAAGTCATTGATCGACCAGCACCGGAGCCGACGAAGAGGCGCCTTGATTTATAGGCCCTCCATATTACAGCACATAAAGCGTTTCGATTCCAACGAGGGAGGTATATTCATCGATTGAGCCTACATGGACCGCCCACCATCTGTTTTCGACTGAAGCTGTGAACCATCTTCCGCTCGTTCGCCAGCGTTGTGCTGTGCTGAAGCTTCGTGCTCTCCATGACCCTCGCTTGGTTTTTTGGGGTGGAGAATGACACCTTCCCAAAGACGTTGTCTTGGAAACTGCTTAGGGAAACGGACAAAAAATAAACATATTGGCCAAAGGGGGTGGATTTATATGCCAAAACGGAATATAACAAACTCACCAAAAGCAAAACCTGGTTGTACAAAACTTACACGTTGATCTCTCTGGCATCGCCACGAATGAAACTGTTTTTTTCAAAGACAGCACCCATTGGCACACCAATCTGACCCAACATCCTTCAAACATGGAACGCGAACCAGCATCCTGGCTTCTGCTGCTGCTTTTGGCAGTGAGATTGGAGGCCCTTTTCTTCTGTCTACAGTCCTTTGAGCACGACCACCACCACCACCACTACCACCATATTTGGTCAACAGGTGACATATTGATACATATTCCTGAAGATTCAAACACCTTGAAATTTTTAGGAGTTTTGGTTAATTGGGTGTTTGCGTGGGGAACTAGGTGTTCTAGTTGTTTTGTGCCAAAACTAGGTGTTTTGAAAACATGTGCCCACACATGACCCAAACTTCCCAAATCAATCCCCCACACTGCCTACGATGATGCGCACATCCTGCTATATCCTGCTCACTCTTCTTTGCAGCGAAGAACGCCGGGGAGCCAAGGTTTAGTGCAGCTATGCTGTCTGTATAGAATGGCTAGACGGAAATGGCATGTGTAGCCCCCTGGGATCTTCATGGATCTTCTGTACAACCCAAGGGACTGAGCTACCCATCCGATCTTGCTTCCCATCCCATCCAATGAAATTTTCATGACTCCAGCACGAAGCTGCAAACAGTAACAGTGAAACAACTCCAAGCCTCCAGGACATTTTTGTCAAAGCAGGCGCAGCATTGGCAAACCCATAACACATGCAAGTGTTGGCATAGACACACAAGGCATTTGCATTACCCGTTTGGACAACCAAGCGCTGTTGAATTCTAGGAATGCAGGCCTCGTCGTAGAAGGTCTAGAACGCAGACCCCAACCCCCTTTTATGTTTGAAAACCAGACGTCAACCTTTTCTTCTGTATTACATGCGTCCGGACTTTGGCGGAGAGGGATTCAGCAGTTGGAATCTCAAAGATTTGTAAAAACCTTTTGTGAGGGGTTCATAGAGTTGGCGTCTCAGAAAATGTTATATATATATATATACGTATATGCTTTCGGAGCTCTCAAGCCGGAGTTCCACCTCGAAGCAGGGGCCAACTGCTGTATTCTCCTTTGGGTCCAAAGATGTTGGGAAATGTCAAAATTCAGCATTGACCAGACAGGTAGTGCTTTTGCGAAGCTGCACAAGACTCCAGGAATGGGTTGCAATTAGGCCTGTCAAGCTTTGCATCAAAGCCATCAGAGCTCTGAAAAGGCCCCTCCCACCCACAACTTTTCCAGCAGCCAAACTGGTCACACTTGCAGCAAAGCCATCATTCCTTGTGTGTGGAAGGAGTGCGCAATAACCCCAATCATTGCCAGGCCAGCAGAACATAGCAGAACTGAGGTAATTGGAGGAAGGGGTCCGCAATCCATTTCTTGCTTCTAAGCTGGGGTTGGCCAACAGCCTGAAATCAAACGTTTATTCCGTTGCGACGTCAGATCCCTGAAGATGCTCCATTTGGCGCTCCAAAGTTGCAATAACCACGGGAAGGTAAAACACAGGAAATTACCTGATTTTATCACTTTTCAGGATTTGCGGGTGTTTGCGGTTTTTTGCGGGCGTTTAGCGGGTTTTTGCGGGAGTTTTGCGGGTAATTTTGGGTGCGGCAATTCACTGGAAAAGTGTCAAAATTGTACAAACATCAGGTAATTGACCTTTCAGCCTGTTACTTCTGCATACTTCTGCTATGGTGACCCAAACCGCTCAGGCCCAACAGCTCCACCTGACCTGTGACGTCGGAGGCGGCTGGCGAGTGCGTACGCTGAACCAGTGAGTTGTCGCAATTGCGGCCTCTGTGAACAAACAACTTGAGAGAGAGAAAAATAAAAGAAAGGAGCCGTTCTCAAGATCAGCCAGACATATAGTTCCCAACAGCGTGGATCCCACAAGGTCGTAAAGCTGGCAATTCGGCATCCCACTCGCCAAGAGCCAGGAGCCATTTTCACAGGTGGGACAGCTCAAATGCATTTTGTTTCGCATTAGCCAACTCAAACCCAAAGGCTTGTCGTAATGCCTTGCCCCTAACATCCCCTAACATGATTGCAAGAGAAGCAAGAATTACAGACCGAAAACATGACCCTTTCCAGAGCAGGAGACTGCAAGAGACATCAATCCCCTCACTGTGTCAGGACATACTCGAGAACCAACTACCCTCCGCTAGGTTGTGATATAACTCTGAAGGTCGGACAGCTACTCCAGCCTCGACATAGGGAGTATGTCTGGGCTGCACATCGAAGCTGCGTACATCTTTCCCCAGCTCCTTTTTGCCAATGGTTTTCACGAGAAAGCTACAGGTGCAGATGGCAGAGCGACCCAAATTCATCCCCATTGGACTCAGGGACTAGCAAATCATATATGTGCCCTAAGAGCGATGCGGACCACTCACCTAATCACAGTCTTAAGATGGCCCGTCGCTGAAGCCAGGTATGCATGCCGCCTGGTGTGGGGCCATTTGATCTGTCGACTCCGGGCAGCTGCTTGGACTCAAATAGGATCTAGACAGTTTTTGCTACAGGAAACTGCCACTCACTCTGTAATCGTGCACTTAATTGAAGTTTTGCAGTGGTAGCCATCGACATAGTTTTGCATACCATGCGTTTGCCAGTGCAATCCAAGGATTGGACGCGTTCCGGATTGATGGCGCTGATGCTATGAGTTGAAAGATGCCCCACCCAGAACGCCCGCTTGCGCGGGCTCCCATGCCCCCAAAAGCCAAAATATCAGCGAGATACACCCTTTTGATCCATTATGCACCAAAAGTAGGTGTTCTGGTTGTTTCAGTTGAGGCTCCAAAAAAGTAGTGATATAGGGTCAAGCACGAGAACTCATGAAAATTTTCAGTCGTTGGAAGATTCAGGTTGATACAACTACAACCGATTCTGAGGCAGTTCTGCTGAAGTGTGTTTGAAAGGAGTCAATCGGCATACACTCCACAATGTAGAATCTTGCTGAATCTTCATCAATAAACCCCCCCTATTTGGATGCACGCACTCGCGGACCGTCGGTAACGGGCGCTCCCACCCTCTCCCTTCCTATTTGGATTGAAAATCCCCTTCATACGGAGTTCTCTTATTCATCAAGAGTCTACATTACATACATCAGAATAGCTGACTGTCGCTCCAGCCTGCTCTAGAGAACAACATGGATCTTCTTCACACCAGAAGAGTCATGTTGGTGACCCTGGTCACTTTGAGGAGCCAGGCACCTGCTTGCTACTTGTGACAGGTGGTGTGAACATCAATAAACCCAGCTATCCCAGAATCGGAACACAAGAAAAAGACTTGCATTCATCATAATTCATCCATCTGTTGCCATGTTGATCAATATGTACGGCACAGGAGAGCACAAGTAAATCTCGAGTCTGTTCAGGCTTTGCCCGAGTCTAGAGTTGTTCGAGACACCCTCCAACAAACATACCGAAACGCTCCATGTACCACAACTATGGCGTATGACTAGATGGTTGACTGGCGGTCTTCATGTTCAATCAAAGAGGGTAGGTCTTCGCATTTAAAAGTGCAGCCTCTGGGCAAATGCCCACGAGTGGGTGTCACCACGAGTGAAGCTGCCTGGTTAAAGAGCCGTAACGTCCTGGGGGCCAGTTCACGGCACGCCTCCGGCTTCCGCCGAGTGGACCATGCATTCAGCTCAGGCCTCTCAAAGTGAGAATGCAAGTAGCGAGTGGCGAGTCAAATCATAACGCTCGCAAACTACATTATCACCCCATGTGTCAAGGACATACACTCGAACAAAAGCTAAAAGCTAAATATAACCCGCGTTGACGTGGGTTTCAAAACGCAAGGCCCCCTTGCAGGTGCATTGCTTTTCGACGTGCTTTTGGGAAAGGGTCATAAATCTCACTCATATGCCCCCCTCAACATTCTTGGCTCAATAATTGTGATTTTATATACTTTTGCCAAACATGGTCTTTGGCAGTTTTTGCATTTGGGCTGGATATTGACTGAAATGGGGGACCCCATCAGCCTCCCATGAATAGGACAAAAACACTGAATGAAGGAGGGTCTCTCAACGAATGCACCTCCCTGTACGCGATATCCCAAACACTCCATGTATGGAATATATGCCTACATTGACCACTGAAACAACCCCCAATGTACAGTAGTTAAAACTTGTTAAAACTGGCAGTCCCATGGAGCATCTGCCCCTCATAGCTCTTGGCCTCGACACCAATCTT